ATTTTATCTGTTTGCTGCATATGTAATACATTTTTCTCCTTTCAGACGGCTTCCAAGCAGTCGACCGTTCAAAGCGGAGGTGCAGGAAAAGCATCATCATCCTCGGTCATGGCCGGAAACAAAAACTGGGATGGCGCCGGCGGGATGGACCAGATAACAGTCGTGAGAATAGACGACACTCACATCGCTGAAGAGGAGTCGCACGTCGACGGGAAGGTGTTCTACGAGGTGGAGTGCTCGCTGCCTGCAGAGGACGAGGTCGTGGGAGAGGATGACGATGACGGCGTCTACGTCATCGAGTATTCAAACCCTGAAGAGGAGGGGGAGAGTTACCAGTTCACGATGTCCGTAGATCGGTCGCTCCCAGCGAAAGAGCCGATTGTTAAAACTCCGGTGGTCAGCGAGAACCCCGGAGCTCTGCTGCCGTCCAGACCGGCGAGGTTGCGACCTCAGGTGAGCCAGAAGAGGAGGTTGGTAACCGAGGAAGAGGAGATCAAAAGCGAAGAGTTCACGGTGAGCAATACGAGCGTGCTGGCGCTGGGAGAGGATTACAGCGATGTGATGGAGATGAACTCGGGCTCAGGTAAGAAACTGGTGTGCACGATGTGCCCGCCGCCCGGTAAGCTTTTCAAGAGGGCGTCTGGGCTGGCGGTGCATTTAAAGCAGATGCACCACATGGAGGGGAAGAAGACGTTCTTCTGCAACTCCTGCCAGCAGTCACTCCGCACTCAGATCGAGCTCGACGCGCACACGAGGCGCCACGCCAACCAGGACGCCGTGTTCGTCTGCCGCCTCTGCGCAGCCGAGGAGGAAGCCGGCACGGAGGAGAAGAAGGGGTTCAAAGGGTCCAGGTGGGGCCTGAAGAAGCACCTGGAAAAGGAGCATCCAGGTGTTATCCCGCGCTGTGACATCTGCAACAAAGGCTTCAAGACGCTCGTGTCGTACCTCGCCGACCAGTTCCGGCACGTCGGGGTGTCGCCGTACTACTGCGCCAAGTGTCAGATCTACGAAATGACTGAGCGCGGTCTGAGCGTGCACATCAGAAACCACAACAAGAAGAAGATGACTGAGCAGAAGGCTAATGAAAGCCGCCTGCAGACTTTTGAAGTCTCCGCCGGTGCTGATAACTCGGCGACAGACGACTCCGACTTCTGACGCTCCAGACTCACCGTTTAGCTTCGTGTTCGAGTGAAGCGGCTCACAGACGTCAGGGTCAAATCCCACATTTTATGCATCTGAACTGAACTTTGGGCAGAAAAACTTTTCCCCTAACAGTTAGAAAACCTTTTTTGTGTGTGTGCAGTTAATGACCAAACATGTTACTGTTTAAGTAGAAGTGTCTAAGAATTATTTGAATTCCCTTCCTTTATTTTCAATTAAGGATAATTGTAGTTGATGAAACGGGACAAAAAACTTGTCTCAAAGAAAAACGTCCAGGAAACGGTCAGAATCAGCACAGGCGTCCATATAATAGAGGTGGGAATCACCATACATCCCACGATACGATATTATCACAATACTTAACACACGATACGATATTATTGCAATTTTTAAAAATATTTTGCGATATTCAGATTCTGTACATAAAGGTAAACTTTATCAATATTCATTTTATCTAATAACAAAGTCTCACACTCAGTCTTTCTCTCATTTCAGTTTTATTGTTGACAAACTGAACGGTTTGTATTACAGTCTAGTCCAACTTAACTGAATGCAACCATCTGGTACAATTATAGCTATTTATGAAAACTATGCAGCCCATTCAGCAACTGAAGAATTTCAAAGTAAATTAAAACAAAATATAATTTTACATTAAATAAAAAAGTTTTAAACTTAATTAAAATAAAACATGTCTTAAATTAAAATAAGTAAACTCATGTTTATTGCTGCCAAAAACACTGGTCAGCTGACCTCAAGAAGTTACGACAGAAGACAGATTCAAAGCTGTTCATTTGCCTTTTTCGTTGAGTATGTGTTATACCTTTTCTGAAGGAGCTTTCCAAGGTGAAAAAGCTACAAATATTTAAAAAGACCCAAAAAACTTTAAAATACACATAACTTTGTGTAACAGGAATACAGATAATTAGCATTAATGGTCCCTGAATACTCAATGTAGGACTCTTTTAGTGGACTCTGGCCACACATTGGAAACCAATGAAATGTTACAGTCTTAACTGCGTTTGTGAAGTTTGTACTGAAATATGCATCAACACTAAATCAAGCATAAAACTCTTTTCGAGGCTAAAATGTGGCTTTTAAAGAGCCGGCCGTGTGTAATTAAATTGCCACAGAGCTCACTCGTTGCAGGAGCCGAAACCTTTCAAATGTTATTTTAAACTCATCCTGTCATAACTGTACGTTTTATCTTACAGGAGGTGAAAATCATTCGAATATGAACTGAGTTTGCTGCATAACACTGAAAAGAGATGCAACGAGCTGTGTTATGAAGCGTTTTAGTTTTTCTTCTTTTTAATTGAAATGCAGTGAAATCGCAGGTTTGCTGTGTTAATTTTTTTGCATTTTTGTTCTTTGCTGTGGTGATTTCATTTTTTGCCTGCAACATTGCATTAAAGGGAAATGCCACTGATTCTTAGCGCTGCTGTTTTCTGTTCACATTTTTACCCTGGAAAGTGAGTGTGGATGAGTTTTTATACTGAAGGGGGTTTACAAGGTGCTTCATGTGTCACAGTTTTTAAAAACATTTCTTTAATAAAAAAAATTAATTGAGAGCAACAAGCAGACAAAAAGCCAACAAACGACAAATCTCATCTCAGTTGACATAAGCTAAATATTGCATCTTTCACAATAAAACGCTCCTGAGGTTCACGTTCTGTGAAATTATTTTTTATTCAAATGACAGGTGTAGTGTAAACATACATTTATGCTTTGCACTTAAATGCTGTAAAAACTACAAAGATAAATATAAAGTAGACATTTGGCTGCATTCACATAAAAAAGGTTGTTTCCCATTTTAAAAACAGCTTTTAACAGCCTGTTTACGGAGGCCTCGTGTGACACCTGGAGCTCGACTGGCTCATTCCTCCATCACCTCAGCAAACAGGACTAGCTGCCTCTGCTACTGGTCAAGCATCTTCTGATGCAAGCTGTGTTTCTAACTTTAGTCTGTAGCACCATGTTGGTGAAAGATGACAGGAGACGAGCTGTTGGCATCCCCACAGCAGGTGAAGCCAAAGTAGGCAGCTTTTGAAAAAAAATGTCTTCTTTCGGTTAGATGTTAATCAGGTAGAGTTCATAATATTTTCCTCCATCCAGCAGCTGCTCGTGACTGTTTGTGCACATTTTTACAGCAATAATAATGCATGTTATCAAAAATGGCTTTAAATCTAATGAAAACATATTTATCTTGCAGCCAAACCCAACTACAGCAACCAGATGTTCTTTCTTTACTGATGTTGGGTTTTTTAAACATCCATGCACATTTTTCTGCTGTTTTCTATGTGTAGTCCCATTGTGGAGCACTATTAATCTGAATTTGATCGTCTAGAAAAATGTATTTGTGGATGAGGGTTATTGAGTCTGGGCTGTGTCGTGTATTTTAACATTTTTATATTGAAGGCACAAACGAGCATCAAGAAACAAAGAGACACAAAACAGGTTGTCAGAGGTAATACAATAAAACACAGTCAGTAGGTGACTATGTGGTAACGGTTATTTAACATCAGTGAAAGACAAAACAACAACAATATCAACAAAAACGATGCATGTTTCCTCCCTTTTTTCCATCTGTAAGTCAAATTTTCAGGTTATTATCAAACTTGAAATTACAGTTCAGGTTGGGCTCAGACTCGAAACACTGAGAAAATTATAAACTGACAACAAAAACACTTTGAACTCTAACCATAAACTGAAATTATGACTTACTGATGTGGAAAACAAGTTTTTTCAGTGGCAGGAACAAGCTTCCACACACCCAGCTTTTGGCATTTATAACAGGTGGGCCCTGTTAAATACTGCAGCACTGTGAGCACATTTCTGCTACTACTACTGTTTTCTTTCTTATTATGTTTACATTTAACTCTTATTGCAAAAATAAATTTACTCTGGTGGGAGAGTGCAGATAATTTTTTGCTTTAACAGTAAAAAAACAGTGAAAGTGAAAGTACAGATGCAGTGGCCTGGGTTCAAGTCTGACCTGTGGCCGTTTGTTGTGTGTCTCTCTGCTTTCTGTCTGTCTTCACTATTCAATAAAGGCAAAAATGGCAAATAATTTAAAAGTACAGATACTGGTGTTTCTGATAAACAAATACTGGTGTTTGTAAACTTTGTGTATTGTAGTGCTCTGCAGAGTTCACAGCACCACAGGACAGTCCACCTTAACGGAGCTGAGACAGGTGACCTGGTTATGTCAGTTCTGAGCCACGCTACATACAAGATGTGTGACGGGCTGATTTGGTTTATTTTAGTTTGTTATCCCAGCCAAGTCACCTGATATAAGATAAGATAACCTTTATTAGTCCCACGCGCGGGAAATTTGTTTAAAGTTAAAGGTTCTGTCAGATCAGATTTTTGTTTTTAAAAGGCCGCAGACCATGAAATAAGTAAACATTTATCAGCCATCATTATCACAGAGCTAAATGCAAACAACAGCAACAAACACGTTCTATAAAATCACATCTCTAATCATCGCATCATCTGTCTACTGTCACCCAGTCGTCCTGAGATCTGCAGCTGTTCCTGGGCGGGATTTGAATGATGCCACCAATCAGGAAGAGAGTAAGTCACTAAGGCGGGAGTTACTGGTCGGGATTTGTGCAGCTAATAGTTTATTTATTGACAAATATAGTCATATATGTTGGTGGGAGATAGGCCACAATAAACAGTGTTCAGGGACCCCGCCCCTCCCTGAGCCTGGTTCTGCTGGAGGTTTCTTCCTGTTAAAAGGAAGTTTTTCTTCCCACTGTCACCAAAGCGTTTGCTCATAGGGGGTCATCTGATCGTTGGGGTTTTCTCTGTTCTCTTTGTATTATTGTAGGGTCTTTACCTTACAATATAAAACACCATGAGGCAACTGTTGTTGCGATTTGGTGTTATATAAATAAAATTGATTTGAATATTCTTTTGAAGAAATGTACAAACGATGGATTTGATCCCAGACTGGATTTCCAAAGAGGGTTAACGGAGGAGCTTTAAAAAGGATCCCAGTGTATCGCAGCCTGTGTAGAAGGTTTGGTTTCTGAAAACGGTGCAGTCCACTCTGCAGCGCTGACAATCATCTACACTTCCTCTCACTCTTCTGTCAGTCGCTGCTGGATGAATGTCTACGTCCCAACAATATGGCCACAATCAGAGCGTCTCTGCACACGAGGACATACGTTCACTTACGCATCGGTGACTCCCACCTGAAAAGAGAAACAATTGAGGTGATAAGTTAGTATTTACAGAGACTCACGCAGTCAGCTGTCAGTCACTGATGCAGCACATGAGCAGCATAGCAGCTTCCTCAGCGCTCATGTTTCCTTAAGCGTGCTGAGTTCAAAGACTTGCATGCTTGTATTACAGAGGGGTTGCTACCTTACAACATAAAATGCCTTGAGGCGACTGATGTTATGATTTGATGCGACATAAATAAATTTGAATTCAATGGATTCAAGTCTTTTTTTCTCAGCAGATTTCACTCAAGACAAATTTAATGTTGAATATTTAGAAAAGTGCCCTGAAGACCATAGAATCTATAAAGGGGAGATCATGAGGAGGGGACTTCTATGACAGGCTGATTGGTGAGGCTGAAGCAGATTAATAACAACCTCCTACTGACCTGAACGTCTCCAGTCTGTAGTCTGGATTCTTCTGAAGATCAATCAGTGCTGTCACGTCATAATTCTTCAAGTAGTTGTTGCTCATGTCCAGCTCTCTCAAATGGGAGGGGTTCGACTTCAACGCTAAGACCAGAGGATGGCAGCTGTACCTCGTCAATCTGCATTCCCACAGTCTGAATAAAAAATAAAACAGGTTTAGAAAAACAAACTCCCACTTCACAAAGTTAGGTGTTTGATAATAATGTGTTCAGAGAAGAAGAAAATTTAACATAGAGAAGTTTAGAAAACTGCAACGCAAAAACAAAATAATAAAGGCAAATAGATGCAGTGATTCAAACTGAGGAAGTGGAAAAGAAAAATGTTGACTGACTTTAGAATCTCCAGCCTACAGTCTGGACTGCCCAGAAAATCACACAGGTAGTCCACACCATCATCCTTCAGCTTGTTGTTTCCAGACAGGTCCAGCTCCCTCAGATATGAGGGGTTGGACTTGAGAGCAGAGACCAGAAAACTACAACTGTAGGATGACAATCTGCAGATCCTCAACCTAAATGAAAAATAAAGATCACCTAAATAACATATTTTACAATCAAATCGTATTTTAGGTTTTAAGTGTGTTAACATTTCCTAATCCTGCAAACCGCCATCAACTGAAAAGCAGGAAACCAGAATAAAAGAAAACTCTGACCTCAGAGCCTCCAGTCGACAATCTGGACTCTCCAGAAAAACACAAAGCAGCTCCACTCCTGAATCGTGCAGCTTATTGTCACTCAGGTCAAGCTCTCTCAGATGGGAGGGACATTGGTTGGACATGAGCGCACGGACCAGAGAATCACAGCTGGTCTCTGACAACCTGCATGAACTCAAACTGGACACAGAACAAAACAGTTTAAACTCCTAGTTGAGAACATTTAGTGTTCACAATCTCAAACCTTTTATTAAACAGGCCTGAGAGTCAAACTATGTTATTGATGAGCTTGGATTTGGATTTGGCTCGATCTTCAGCAGGAAAAGACGAGTTCAGACTCTTTGTAGATTCAAATACGCATCTATAGTCATTAGCGTTAGTCATAAACATATTGAGATATTAGATATTAAATTATATGTTTGTGAAAATCTGATCACTGAACACTTGGGGGAAGAATTATTATTATTTTTTGAATTTAAAGTATGAACTGACTTCAGAAACTCTAGTTTACAGTTTTGACTTTTGAGTCCACCAGTCAGCAGCTCCATTCCTGGGTCTTTCAGGTAGTTTCCACTCAGGTCCAGATGTACCAGGTGGGAGGGTCTGGACTTCAGGGCTGAGGCCACGACTTCACAGTGAGTATCTGAGAGCTCACAGCCAGGGAGTCTGTCACACACATTAATACACATACAACAAAATGTGTTACAATACATTTATAGACCCCATACAGTCCGCAGTCTGCTACACTCCCACATCAGATTCCCCAAAGATATCGAGAGGCCATCTTTTCCAGGAAAATGTTATTGTCCACTGCATTTAATGTGACTTTGGGCTTCTTCAAATTCATGGGCTGCATCCTCCTGAGGCCGCATTTGTTGGCCGATTGCGTCACAGCGATGTGACAAAGGCTGTCTAAAGTCGTAGACTCCGACAAATGAGGCCGACAAATCCATCCTCCTTTTCCCCAGATTTGAAGGATGGGTTGGATGTATCCTTTGTGGCCCACCATATCCCAGAATTCATAGTGCGGCCCAGCCAATTCCAATTTCCAACAATGGCAGCTGTTACTAAGTTTTATTATTAGTCTTTCTGGGTCACAAAATAAACTTTTAAGATATTTTCAGGTGAGAATGTCGCTGTGTAAACTTCTAATATCTGCTCAGTTTTTTAAGATATCACATATTTGTAAAAGTGCTCCGACGTTTTCTGAGACATCTGTTACCCACCAGCTCGATAGCTAGCCGGGGTTCAAGGCTCACTAGAGCTGGCGAGAACAGCAAACTCGTTTTCAAACCCAGCGTGGTCTTTCGCTACTCAGGTTAAACATAAGTTACTTAGATCATTTAAAAATGTTATTGTTTGGCTTTTTTCAGTGTTTTATTAGTTCGTAAGTTACTTGGTTTGGCTGAGATTAAAGTTCGCTCACTTCTGGCCTACCCGGCCTTCGAAGGACCTGGCCCACGTAGACTGCAAAGGCCGGGTCCTCAGGAGGATGCAGCCCATGAATTTGGACACGGCTTTTGTCTACTTTTTATGGAGTTGAACTTACTGAACATACTCCCGTTAGTTTCATATCGGTACCAAATGATACACTGGTAGAGTCAAATACTACGTTTGACTCCAAAAGAAATTTCCACCTGGACTTACCGAGCCTTTCTGCAGTTTCTCACAGCTGGGATCAATCTCAGTCGTCCCTCCAGTGATGTCTTGTACCTCTTCAAGTCAAGCTCCTCCAGAACCTCCTCTGACATCTGCAGCATATAGGCCAGAGCTGAGCAGTGGATCTCAGATAGCTCCTTCTCTGATCTGTTTTCTGACCTCAGGAACTCTTGGATCTCCTGAGATACCGAGAGGTCATTCATCTCTATCAGGCAGTGGAAGATGTTGATGCTTCTGTCGGGGGCGATTTTTGTTTTCTTCTCCTTGAGGCTGTTAACGGTTCTCTGGATGATTTCTGGAGTGATCTCTGCCTTGCCCAGCAGACTTCCTAAGATTTTCTGGTTGGATTCCAGAGTGAGGCCATGAAGGAAACGAACAAACAGATCCAAGTGGCCATTTTTACTTTTGAGGGACTTGTCCATGACTCTGCTCAGAAAGACATCCAGAGATGTGTCACTGTTTGTGTTGTCCCACTTTGTCCCTGGGAATTGCTTCAACACCTCTATGTCCTTGTTAGTGTAACAGTGAAACATGTAGACGCCAGCCAGAAACTCCTGGATGCTCAGATGAACAAAGCAGTAGACTGGTTTCTCGAAGATCACACACTCTCTTTTGAAGATTTCTGTACAAACCCCTGAATACACCAAGGCCTCATCGGGATCCAGACCACACTTCTCCAGGTCTTCTTGGTAGAACATGATGCTTCCGTTCTCCAAATGTTTGTATGCCAGCCTTCCCAGCTTCAGAAGAACCTCCCGATCAGCCTCTGCTACCTCCTCTGCCATCTCTTGTCCCTCATGATATTTGTACTTCTTTCTCTTCATCTGAACAAGAAGGAAGTGTGAGTACATATCCGTCAGGGTCTTGGGCAGCTCTTCCCTCTGCTCTGTAGTCAACATGTCTTCAAGGACTGTAGCGGTGATCCAGCAGAAGACTGGGATTCTACACATGATGTGGAGGCTCCTAGATGACTTGATGTGGGAGATGACTCTACTGGACCGTTCTTCATCACTCAGTCTCTTCCTGAAGTACTCCTCCTTCTGCTTATCCGTGAATCCACGTACTTCTGTGACCCTGTCGACACATCTAGAAGGGATCAGATTGGCTGCTGCAGGTCTGGAAGTTATCCAGATGAGAGCCGAGCGAAGCAGACTCCCCTCGATGAGGTTTGTCAGCAGCTCACAGACTGATGACTTCTGTGTGACGTCTGCTATAACCTTTGTTATGGTGAAATCCAGTGAAAGTCTGCTTTCATCCAGGCCATCAAAGATGAGCAAAAGTTTACAGAGATCCAGGTTCTCCGCTGTGACCTTCTCTAATGTTGGATGGAAAATGTGGAGCAGCTCCAGAAGACTGTACTGCTCATCTCGTATCAGGTTCAGCTCTCTGAATGAGAGCAGAACCACCACATTAATGTCTTGGTTTTCCAAGCCCTCTGCCCAGTCCAGAGTGAACTTCTGAACCGAGAAGGTCTTCCCAACTCCAGCGATGCCATTTGTCAGAACGACTCGGATATCTGTTTGTTGGTCAGGTAAGGCTTTAAAGATCTCATGGCACTTGATTGGAGTGTCCTGGTGGGTGTTCTTGGAAGGTGTCTCAAGCTGCCTCACCTCATGCTGCGTGTTCACATCTTCAGGCTGCCCCTCCGTGATGTAGAGCTCAGTGTAGATCCTGTTGAGGAGGGTTCCTTCGGTTTCATGAGTTCCTTCAGTCACACGTTCACATTTCCTCTTCAGTATGAGCTTATGATCATCTAAAACCTCCTGCAAACCACCATCAACTGAAAAGAAGGAAAACGCAATATAAGAAAACTCTTAAATGTCTGAACAAGAAGATAAACTCCAGTTTTCAGAAATGAAGCTACCAGCAAATAGATGTTCAGTCTTACTTGGTATCAAGCTGCTCGGACTGGCTGTCTGGACTCCAGCTGTGGTTCCTGAGTGGTGCCAGGAGGGCAGCTTTGATGAAGCAGACCAGTCCCTGCATGAAGTGAAGCACTGTCTGCAGAAGTATCATAAATATCAAAGTTTAATAACATGCTGGCTTACAGAAAAATATCATTATTGAATCATATTTAAATACAACACCTCTGTTTTATTTCTGCTTTAACAGAATCACACATGTAAATGAGGTAATGATTAGTAAAGTCATCCATGTGCCCTAATGCTAATACCCTCACCGACAGCTTTATGTTATTGGTTTTGATTTGGCAGGATTATTGAAAGAAAATCAAAAACTATTGTACAGTCTGACCAATCACTGACGCTATGGTCCCTGCTACAGAGCAGAGGAACCCTCTGGCTTTTTATCAGTGCACCGGAGCACAGGTGCAATAGTGCATCTGTGCATGGGTAACTTCCACATCTGTTAAAGCACCATTAATGCTGGATAGTAGCTTTTAGGACAATATATGCTGCAGCTGAGACAATAAGTTTTTAAAAAGGCCAAACTACAGTTTGTATACCGACAGGACGACTAAGCTTTAGCAAAAGACTAGTAGACCAAACTAAAAAGTCAGAATGTATCAGGAGAAAAGTTACATTCAGGCCTTTATGTCTTGGAGACATAAGTGAATTGCATCCTGCTTTGTGTATACGATAACAATGAAAATAATGTTTTCACAGGACCTTTGAAAATCTAAGTGCACCCTTACTGCTTCCATAGCGATTAGGAGGGTACGTATCATCCAGGGGCTTCCAAACAAATGCCCTTCATTGAATAATCAAATGTGAACATCTCTATAAAAGTAAAAGCTTAGACAGTTTGCTAATATGATTGGACAATGGACAAATAAATGTCAACAGCTCTGTGTTGTAATTAACATTAACAACTATTTAGAGAAGATGTGGTCTCTTACTCTGTGTGTGAGGGTCCAGGTTGATTCCTTAAGTCTGGAGGGGCATCTCTGGATATGTCACTCTTCATAGACAGCCAGTCGGATACTGAAGATGCCACTCTGTGTCTGTGCTGCCCACCTCTGGAAACACAAAGATAATAAACTGGAACCTTCCTGTTTTTATATTAGATGCACACAGAACTGCAAGAACTCCTTTATTCATGAGTTTATGTTGATGCTCGTTAAACAAGTTCATCACTGAAGCTTTGCTGTGTTCATAGGAATGCATTCTTAGTTTTCTTCCTGCTTCAGCATGAGTCACCTTCACCTCTGTTTGCAGCACAAACTGAGTCTTACTCTGTGTGTGAGGGTCCGGGTTGATTCCTTAAGTCTGGAGGGGCTTCTATGGAAATGTCACTCATCATGGACAACCAGTCGGATCCTGGAGACGCCGCTCTCTGTCTGTGCACAAATGTAGAATAAATCACAAATTGCTCTTATTGTGTCAGAATCTGATTAACTGGACTAAAGTTCAGGATTTCTTTAGTAAAACCTGAATGTTCCCATGCATCATGATACTAAAACCTCACAGCTGCATATGTAGTGCTGTGCTTTATAAAGAATGGAGTTAAAATATATCAACAGATAACTTGGGATACACACCTCTGTTTTCTTTTTTCCAGTGTTAATTGTAGATTAGCATTTTAAACTGTGGAAGTCAAAACACTTTTACTGCTGTAAAACTGTGTAAAATGGAGATCAGCTCAATCCTCTTTACATCACAGTACAAAGACAACATCCTCAAACTGGTAAAATAACTCCTCATTTTGAATTTTATCTCAGTTTGGGCGCTGACCAGATGTGTCTGCAGCCACGTGAACAGAAAAACAGGAGAAAGAAAGTTTTTATTTCGAGTGAGTATCTGATTGAACGTATGTGTAGTTTCTCAGTCATCCAGGTCATGGTAGTTTAGCAACATGTTCTCACTCCCAAAGCATAACATTTTACGCTAGCTGACAAATCGTCTGTATATTACACTTTGGCCACCCAACATGTCCCTATGTTACAAGTTCAGAAAAATGTGGAAACAATATAACCATTTAGAATGAATCCACACATGTACGTTTATTCTACCTAAATCGCTTTGGAAAATACTACCTAACACGATTAAGGTCATGGTTAGGGCTGGAATACACGACTGTGTTATACCTTATAAACCCAGTTTTTAAATCAATAAGTAGTTTCCTAGAATAGAGCGATATATGTGATCTAATAGTTCTGCTTAAGAAAGCGTTGTTCTTCGGTCTGAAAGTTAACCATCAGGTCTGTTCTCAGAAGAAGTGGTCTCTTACTCTGTGTGTGAGGGTCCGGGTTGATTCCTTAAGTCTGGAGGGGCATCTCTGGATATGTCACTCTTCATAGACAGCCAGTCGGATACTGAAGATGCCACTCTGTGTCTGTGCTGCCCACCTCTGGAAACACAAAGATAATAAACTGGAACCTTCCTGTTTTTATATTAGATGCACAAAGAACTGCAAGAACTCCTTTATTCATGAGTTTATGTTGATGCTCGTTAAACAAGTTTCTCTTTACATCACTGAAGCTTTGCTGTGTTCATAGGAATGCATTCTAAGTTTTCTTCCTGCTTCAGCATGAGTCACCTTCACCTCTGTTTACAGCACAAACTGAGTCTTACTCTGTGTGTGAGGGTCTGGGTTGATTCCTTAAGTCTGGAGGGGCTTCTATGGAAATGTCACTCATCATGGACAACCAGTCGGATCCTGGAGACGCCGCGCTCTGTCTGTGCACGAATGTAGAATAAATCACAAATTGCTCTTATTGTGTCAGAATCAGATTAAAAGGACTAAAGCAGCGGTCCCCAACCCCCGGGCCAGGGACCGGTACCAGTCCGTGAGTCATTTGGTCTCGGGCTGCGAGAGTTGAGGCTCGGGTGTGAAATTTATGGTTTTCAGTGTTTTTATCGCCATTTGTTATCATTTTTATGGGTTACTTGGTTTCCCTGGGTCTTTTCCTGTGTCTTATGAAAAAATCTTCGGTTTTTTTGGTACCAGTACTGGTTTCATTTTGTTGTATTTATCCGTGACACCTTAAAGGCCGGTCCGTGAAAATATTGTCGGACATAAACATGCCTGACTGCACAGGTCACAGAGAGATCATTTTTAAGACAGGTAGGATCTCAGCCACGATAACAAAAATATTTCTGTAACTCCAATAAAATGTTCTAGCCTATGCAATAAAATACAGGGATCCATAGTGTCAAAGGCAGCCTTAGATCATTAAAGTAATAAAAGTAAAGTGTGATCATTGTCTGCATTCACCAACAAATCGTTTACCACTTTGATTAAGGCCGTTTCTGTGGAGTGATTTGGTCTAAAAACAGACTGAAATGGCTCAAACAGATTGTTTGTTGACAGATGCTCAGCAGGCTGCTTAAAAACAACTTTTTCAAAGACCTTAGGCAAAAAAAAGGTGTGAGGTGGGTCTATAGCTCGCACCAACAGCTCTAAAACTGTGTCAAATATAAATCAGCTCAATCCCCTTTACACTACAGTACAAGGACAACATCCTCAAACCAGTAAATAACTCCTCATTTTGAATTTTATCTCAGTTTGGGCGCTGACCAGATGTGTCTGCAGCCACGTGAACAGAAAAACAGGAGAAAGAAGGTTTTTTGAACGTATGTGTAGTTTCTCAGTCATCCAGGTCATAGTAGTTTAGGAGCTTGAAGAGAAGGCAACAGGACTTCTTTACGTTTTTTTATGGAGATGTTTCACCTCTGATCCAAGAGGCTTCTTCAGTTCTGCAGCATATGCAGTTTTTTAAGGGTTTATAAGGTGTAAAGTATCAGGTCTAATACAGATCCCAGAAAACCTCCAGTGTGTGTGAGGAAAACTCCTCATTTACATGAACAAATGTAATCTATCAGACAGATATAACTCAAATATAATATAAATATATATCTAATATAATCAATAAAAAGTTTCCTGGAATAGAGAGATATATGTGAACTAATAGTTCTGCTTTAAAAAACATTCTTCGCTCTGAAAGCTGACCATCAGGTCTGTTCTCAGAAGAAGTGGTCTCTTACTCTGTGTGTGAGGGTCCAGGTTGATTGCTGAAGTTTAGAGGGTCTTTCCTGGAGGAGTCACTCTTCATAGACAAACAGTCGGATCCTGGAGACTCTGCTCTGTGTCTGTGCTGCCCACCTCTGGAAACACAAAGATAATAAACTGGAACCTTCCTGTTTTTATATTAGATGCACAAAGAACTGCAAGAACTCCTTTATTCATGAGTTTATGTTGATGCTCGTTAAACAAGTTCATCACTGAAGCTTTGCTGTGTTCATAGGAATGCATTCTTAGTTTTCTTCCTGCTTCAGCATGAGTCACCTTCACCTCTGTTTGCAGCACAAACTGAGTCTTACTCTGTGTGTGAGGGTCCGGGTTGATTCCTTAAGTCTGGAGGGGCTTCTATGGAAATGTCACTCATCATGGACAACCAGTCGGATCCTGGAGACGCCGCTCTCTGTCTGTGCACGAATGTAGAATAAATCACAAATTGTAAAATGTACATTTAAAAAAGTGGAATGACTTACAAATCTCTCTCATTTTCTTTTTAAATTCATAGTAGAACACAGTAGAAGGATAAACATGGCCCTGTGGCAACTTTAGAGTCACGTTGCTGCTGTCAAATGAAGAATTAGCTCTTTTTTTTTTTTTTACAGATTGTAGCTTTCTTCAGTTTAAACATCTGATGTGTTTTATATAATTTGTTGTGAACAGTCGGTGATCTATGGAGGGCCTCGAGTGTCAGTCAAAGAATTTAATTTGAATCTGTCTACAACCTAAAGTGATTTCCACGTCTCCTCGTCACGCTGAGTTAATGTTAATGGATCAAGTTTAAGGCTGAGCCGCAGTGTAAAGTTCAAAGGACTCTAACATGCAGATGTTACATTAAGGACAGCGCAGAGCAGCGGTGCAGCATTTCTCTCTTGGCTGATATTCAGCATCCGTGCTGGTTTACTCTTATATAATCAGCCGCTCCTCTGGTAATGTCTCTGACCGGGCAGTCAGTCGAGCCACTCTGGGGGAAATGATGGCAAACACCACCTTTCGTGTGAGCCTGAGTTAAAGGGATGCAACCAGAATGTTTTTCATACTTGTGGCCATATGGGGGCAACTAAAAATATTGGGGTGGCACACTTAACACAGAATTTCCAGTTTTAATATGCTGTCAAATTTAGGTTAATTGAAAAATATGGCAAAAAAGAGGCAGAAAATAATTTTGTGCAAAGTTAATTTCCTGCTGTTGAAGTCGACGTCAATGCCCCTCCCGGGTGCAGCAGCATGAGCATTGGGCGAAAACCGGGTCTTACTTTAGATCCCAGGCTCCGGGTCTGGGGTGGTTTCTCTTCAGAGGCCGGCAGCTTCGGTCCTCTTCTTCCGCCAAATCACTCATGTTCCCTCAGTCTGAGAGTGAAAGACGGACACGTGTCAGGTTCGGGAGTGAAACAGCTTTTTGAATCCTCCGCCTGATGAAAAGCTCCGTCTTTGCTTCCCTGCTTCACCCACGGAGACACCCTGACAGCAGAATAACGATCATTATGCTGAGATCACCCTGCTTCGCTCCTTCTGCTCCTCTGTCGGCTCCAAAATGGAGTCCAGCACTTTCACTTTCACTTCTCCCCCCGTGGAGCTGCTCCTCCTCTCTCCAGTTTCTGGAAATGACTGCATCTGCCAATTTAATACCTCAAACACGAATATTTAATAACAATCCTCCAAAATCGGACTAATAACATGAAACATGAGGAGGGAGTCTCAGCTTAGCAGTGGTTTAGGGAAACTCAGAGCACAGTGTGAGCAGTGAGGGGGGTTGATTTAAACATGGTGTAGTTATTAATGCAATCTGAGGTGATGGAGATGTTGATCTGGTATCGTTTTGTTCTGTGGGCAGCAGCTCTGACATCTGCAGGTGGCTGCTGCTTTAACTACGGACCCGTTGATCTGCCACCATCAGCACCATCGAAACCTCACACTGGACTCCAGGCACCTTGGCTTCTCCTTTCCTCTTCCAGGCTCCAGATAAGGGGTGTCAAACATAAGGCCCAGGGGCCAGAATCAGCCTGGTAAAGACCCCGGTAGAGCCCAGTGGACAGCTTTGGAAAATGTGAAGGATGGTGTAAAGTTCTGGAGTTTCAAATGTAGTATATAAGCTTATTTTAACACTTCCCCCATGGCCATGCTTACTACACATAGTAATTTAGTAGCAGATAAACAATAAAATGACATAAAAGTTCCATTTTTTCACTTTCTACTAAAGAAATTTCAGTTTAAAATAAGTTAAAACAAATAATAACAAACCCTTGTTAACAAATACTTCCTGTTTTATAACTACAGTACTATACTTAGAGTCCGAGCACCAGATTTTTATTCTATTTTAAACATGTATTTCTTACAGTTTAATCCCAAAGAGTCGTGCTGACAGATTTGTTCACCGCGCAGAGAAACTGATGCGTGCTGCTGAGACTGGATGTTTCATCATAAGACTCACAGAAAGAAGAGTTTCACAGGTTGGCCTCACAGTGTTAGAAGTTTGACATCCCTGCACTCGGAGCTTCGTCTTACTAATGATACGCAAAATTCACTTTCATCTGAAGACAGGACTTTGGACCTCCGAGCAACAGTTGAGGTCTTGGCTCATGAGCGGTTTGACATCAGGACTGCGACAGCTGTGCATGGTGGCGATGTCGTCCTCAGTCCACTCCATCTGAAGCTCTCCAAAGTCTTTGAGCTGTGAGGTGTGCAGAACGATCCGGACATCCACGGTATCAACAGAACACACAGTGGAATCGGCATCAGAGCCATACTTTGCTTCTGCCCTCTAAGTCCAGCATGTAGCCCCCTGAATTGTGTTAAATAAAGTAAAAACGTTCCTCAAACGTGCACTATTATTATCCTGCAGCACATTGAACCAACAGGAGCTGACCCAGCGGCTTCAAAGGCACATTTACATTCCAGCTCTGCAACAAACTAACAGGCGCTTTTTGCTGTGCCAAAGTAAAAACCACACTGATTTTATGGCCATTAAAAAGTGTTCCCAGGGATTAGCTGTCAGCTGTGTGTGGATGCAGGAGATGCCACTTCCTGCTCTGCAGTATCATTTTTAGGTTATTATGCTTTCACATTTAAAGTCAAGTGTCCAGAGTCTCTGGTGTCAGTTGTAACAACGTGAAAGTGAGAACTTTTTTTTTTTAGAAAGGAATGAGGTAACAGCTTCAGGGAGATCAAAGCACGACACTCTTTGACTGATTATTGTTTTTATTGTTTTTAATAGAAAGTCCAGCTCTCGCCGCAGGTACAAAAACTGAGAGCTGGCGTAGCAGCAGGGCTGACTGCGTCTCCGACAGGATCAAATCAGAGAAGGAGAGGAAGAGGAGCGAGGATGAAGAGAGAAGAAAGAAAGCTATGCCTCTGGTCATAAAGGGGGAAAACAAAATCAGCGTTTCATGTTTCATCATCCCAGAGCTGTACATGGATAGACGAGGAAGAGATCAACACTTACATATATATATATTCAATAATTATATATAAAACATAAAGAAAATCTGCATTTTATCCCTTTTTCTCACAGACACCCAGACGACCACAGAGAGGAAGCAGTTTCTAATCATTGACCCGCAGAAGCAAGAAGCTCAGTGGCTGTGGAAGATCATCTCCACCAGGAAACGATGAACAAAGACCGGCCACGATTTCAAAAAAGGTTCCCGACGGAGTAAAAAATGTCTCACTGAGTTAAAAATATCAAATTAATTCAGAGATAAAAGTCTTAAAATGTCATAACAGAGATGAAAAGTTCATTTCAAAGATTTGTGTTCGAGTTTAAAATAAGCTTTTTAATGAAAAATGACTTTTTAATGTACAATGAATACAGGTGTGTATTTTAAAAACAACTTCTCTTATAATTTGATTTGTTTTTTGGGAATGTGTCATTTTCCACTTTTGTTTTTCAAAATCTGACTTTACCTTTTAATATTTCACATTTTCATCTCTAAACTGTTATGTTGAAACTTTGTCTCACTATTATGTTTTATAAAATCTGGACTCCTTATATCATAGTTTCATCTTTAACACGTGACTCTGCTGTTTAAAAGCTTTTTAATGTCACTTTCCAGCATTTTGATCTAAAAACTTCATTAGTGACAGTTTACTTCTACATTTCCAGTTTCTACTTTAAAACTGGACTTTTTCTCATAATTTAGAATTTTTTAATTGGAGCCTCAATCTGAACATAAATGATTTACACCATTAAGCGACTTAAACATGATTTTTGTTTTTCTTCTGCTGGTGGAAAACGAGCTCACACAGTCTGAGTCCGGCGCTTTTTGCTTTATGTGACGCTCGCTTGTTTGCAGCAGAGGCGCACGCAGAGAGGGCGGAGCGTAACGGCCCTGAATGCCGACCACTGCGGACACGAGGAAGCTTCGGAGGAGTTTAACAGGCCGTAACAACGTCTGGCAGCGACGTCGGTGCTCGTATCGATCCAGGATGTAAAATCAGCTGTGATGATGATGAAGGACTTGAAGTCCAACATTGACACAATCAATCAGATATTTGTTCTTGGAAGTGTTTCATTAGGGCCTAACCCCAAAGACCTTCAGTTTAACGAGATATTAAATGTAGAAAAGATGGACATGTTTGTATTTTAGTGGCTGGAACTGATTCTTTTCACAAAGATCGTCCACAAGTTTCAGTGAACTGACCCTTTCACTGATTTCTCCACCACTGGACCTCCGACTGCACGCCCAACGTGGTTTGCCGGTAGTTTCGACTCCTGCTGGAATGTTTTTAAAAGTGTTTTTTTCGTCAGATTTTTAAAGGGTTCGCTGACACAAAAACAGGAAACGCACCAGACGCACCTGGCAGAAACAGCACCACAGCAGTCGAGACAGAAGAGTTTGACTCCAGAAAAACACGTCGAAAAGTAAATGTAAGACTTCTAAATCATAAAATAAACATCAGCAAAGATGAAAACAAGGATTCAGGTTTTGGAGTTTCCATATCAGGTCTGATAAACACCTCTCTGTGCCTCGCTCGCCTTCTTCCACTCACACTTCTGTGCTTTGTTTTTAATATTTGTATGTACACCCCCTCCTCGTGGACGTATAAAAATGCATTGTCTTGATTCATAGAAACCTGAGTTGCTCGACATGTTCTGTATTTACAGTTCTGCTGCACGTAAGGAGGAGATCAGCCGGCTCATACAGACGTCGCGTGACCATCGGTGGAGGCGAGAAACGCCTTTTTCCCCTGTCAGCCTCATTTACAGGCAGGCAACACGTCATTTTAGTTTGTGTTTGTGAAGGAAGAAGGAGAAAACTCAGAGTTAAAGCTGCTTCTGTGGCCTCTTCTTCTGCTTTAAATTTACTGGCACATCCTAAAACTGCACAAGAGAAGCCAGAGAGGAGCTTTAAAGCAGAGGTGCTCGGCCCTGCTGCACAAACACCTGACTTTACTGATGTTTCAGGGTTTTATCAGCAGCTCTCTGATCACGCTCAGAAGCTCAGATAAAGTTAATTATTTGGATATTTTACATTTCTATTTAAGCTTTAGTGCTAAAATTTGAAATCCCAGCTGCTGATAGGCTCAAGCTTTGCCTCCAGTCTCCTGAGGAGGAGGAGGGAGCACCGCCCTTCATCACATTAAGATCTTTAAAAACCAGATTAAAGAGTAAAATAACAGGACAATAGTGTTAAATATCAGACCAGAGTGTCCAGGAGACGTTATACTGATGACAAACTACTCTGGGAGGAGTGTTTCAGAAGCACAGCCCTCCCGTGGCCACCAGGGGGCAGCAAAAGCTCAACATGTGCAGCTTAAAATTGATGCTGGACAAAAAAAATACTGTTACAAAGACAGAGTGGCTCTTTCTGCTGCAAGTGTTGTTTCCACACTTGCATCACTCTTCCATGATTTCCTGGATCTCTGTTTGTTCAAAGAATAAATCCGATCATGTTTTTCTTGCTGTCAACAAATCCCAACAAACTGATTCTAGTATCTTATCATGGGATTTATTGGCAGTAAGAAAAAACATCTGGAGGTGTCGTTACGTTTGCTGACCGGATGATCGAACGAGCCCACCGTCAAACACTCTGGACTAGAACACGGCTCAGATGTTTGTTCTTTGCTTTGTTGTTGCACATTAAAGATAAAATACTGGAAAGCGGGTTTCGGTTTGTCCGACAACAACAACACAGGCTGCAGACGGCTGCAGCAGGTTACTGAAGGTTAAATAAAATCGATTTCATTCACTTTTCTTAAAGAAAAAACCACTGCTATGAGAACAGCGTTTGTGCCACTGTGTGTGACGTGATTACAGAGCATGGATATGCGTTATGTTTTCGTCTGGGGCCACACGGAGCCAATAAAAGTGAAGATTTAATGAAATTTTTGTTTTTCAAAATGTGGAATTTTTTCAGATTAACTGGAGAGGTGTTTTCTTTTTTTCTGGTAAATTTGCCATTTTTTCTTACTAATCTTCACATTTTCTTCCCTCATAAAATTATTTATTTATTTTTCTAATAAATTTGCAAAACTCTTTTTCAGATAAACTGGAATTCTTCCCATCAACATTTGCTGTTTCATTTCTCTTAATTTTGTCATTTTCTACTCATAAATTTAGGACTTTAAGCTAAAAAGACTTTTGCTCTGTAATTTGACCTTCAGTGACCCCAACACGCTGCTTTAGCTTTTTGGATTTTAAAACCATTTTGAGGCTGAGGCTGCTCCGCCCGTCGGGCTGAATGTCCCACCGTCTGTCCTTTTCTGCAGACGCCGTCGTCTCTCAGGCTACTTGAGGCTTAGATGCAGGATCTACAGCTACGCAGAACCATGACCACAGTATGATAACAAAGACTCTAGCTCTTTAAATGCATACCTTACATTACTTTGTTCCTATGATTTCCCCCGTCTGGAGTAAATAAATACAGTACTTTTATCTTCCTGACGCGCACTCGCCCTCTGGGCCTGCGAGCTAGCGCTGATTGTCCAAAGCAAAAAGAGAAGAGAAACGTAGGGCTCGCCCTTTAAGGTTTTCTCGACAGCTGAGTCCGGCTGCTGAACAGTGATGCTAAAGCTGAGACTCTACGGTAAGACAGCAGAAGAGATCCAATCAGAAGAGCCCGCAGAGGTGAAGGAGAGATCGAGGAGGGAGGGGGGCGGCCTCTGTGCTCCTATTTGGCGTTAGCGGTTCCCAGGTCCATCAGTAGTCTGTCCCGCCGGACCGAAGTGAGGGAGAGGGAAGGTCCGGCGGAGGTCAGATCGAGGTCAGAGTTGACGGGACGAGGAAGAAAAGAAGGAGGCGGAGGAGAAAGAGGAGGTCACAGAGCGGTGGAAGTGATCTTCTTCAACCCCCGCCGCTGGGCCAGAGTGGAGCAGCCCACAGGCTCTAGGACCGGGGGGACATTCCTGTTAAGGGCAGAGTAGGTGGCCGCCATTGCACCCTGTAGGAGGAGCCAGAATACAAACTGATTAATCAATCAACCACTGACGGATGATGGAGATGGATGGATGGATGGTTACCTTGACGAGGAGTGGTGCGTCCTGTCTGTTGAGGGTGTATTTGGGTAGCTGGTCTCTGTGCGTCACCCACGGGTGTCTGAGGACCTGCCCCGCTGTCAGCCGCTGGTGGGGGTCGACGTGCAGCATCTTAGACACCAGGTCCTAAAGGGTCAGAGGTTACAACTGAACTCCGGGTCACCGTGGCGATCACAGAGAGACGGTGAGCGGCTCACTTCAATCGGAGCTACTTTTCTGTGTGTTTGTTAGGAAACAGGCCTCACCTTAGCTTCAGTTGAGACAGAGTTCCAGTATCCTCCGCTGAGAGAGAACTTCCCGCTGCCGATCCGAGCCAAAATTTCCTCCGGGGTGTCCTCTGGACCGTTAGCAAATGGAGTGAAACTGGAAGGACAGAGCAAAGGGGCTGATATGCAGGAAGTGTAAGACCTGCAAACAGGCACCAAAACTATGAAAGAACAGGCATTAACTTCACACAGACAGTGTAAACACATCAATTATTTCAATGTGAGATCATCACTCGTTGCCTTGACGACATTTGTTTCATAAGGAATTTCATTTTGCCTTCTCAGTGAGTCCTTTCAGACCGCGGCTCATCAGGAAATACCACCAGCTCACCATCAACCAGCTGTGGTTAGCAAACCGCCTGATGACCATGAACCATCATTGTTGGCGTTTCTTTTACTTTTTGTAACAAAGAAGCATCTTTGACAAACTGATGTCAGGTAAAGAAAAAGTAAGAAGTTTCTTTTGTTAAATTAAGTTTCTTAGAAGCGAAGAGTAAAGTCTCTGTTACCCTGTTAGCATCGTGTAGAGCAGGACTCCGAGACTCCAGATGTCACAGGCTGCGTCATAACCCTGCTTCTTCAACACCTGCCAGGACAGAAAACACCAGCTTCAAGCAAAAGTAACGTCCTGCCTTCTCCTTTCTCTGCAACAAAAAGAGCGTCAGCACCCTCCAAATGATCAAGATTACACCTCTCACACATATATTTATATTCCCTACACTTGGCAGCTGTATAATCAGGGCTGCCTGAACATGCTTTGTCTCTGAAGGACTGTTTGGTTCAGGCTTAGTTACACAGCGATGACGCACAGGTGCAAACAGGTGCAGACAGCAAAAGAATCACTGTTAAGTGTTCATATGGAGAGTCGTGTAAAAAAAAAAGGAAGAAGCCGTCAAAAGAATCTATTTGATCTCATTAATTTTATGGAGCAGGAAGCTAGCTAACAAATATTTTATACACTGTGGATCTTGCATGTTGTCATGTGACGTCCAGACTTCCTGAACCACAAAACAACCTGAGTATTTTGGATTCAGCGCATCTTCTTCTGCTCGTTTAATCTGACGACCTTCTTGATGCTAAATTGTGAAGCATTTGAGTTTTTGTTAAAGGGCGCCTCCGTGATGACACGGTGAATTTCGATGTTTCGCTACAGCAGAAGAAGTTTAACCAAACCTGTGACGAGAGTCCAGGCGCCTTCGTGCCAATACTGACTGAGAGACACAGCGCCACCTGGTGGCAACAGGAAATCAGCATTTTGCAGCATTTGCATTGTCCATCAGTATTTTGATGACTGAGTGTCAGTATTTCAGCTTTAATCGCAAAACTCTGATACTGTAACAGCTCTAAGAGAAACAATAGACTGGCTGGTGTTGTGCACAGGTGATTATTCCTCAGGTAAACAGGTTAGTTTGCATGTAGCAGCAGATAAGTTGATAAATATTTAGAGATCTTTCAGTTGAACAGTGTCAGCAGAAACAGTCGATCGTTTTTGAACACTTGTTCAGTTTTTAGAGGACAACAGCTGACTGTGAGGAAGACGCAGGAGTGTCAAAACATTAGTCTGTTCACACAACCGAAGGCTGTGAATTAATCAGCGCGCTCCGGTCCCGTCTGTCCTCGGAAAGTTTGCTGTCCTCGAGCTGAGGGGCACCTGACGGAGCTGCACTTTGATGGGAGACTTTTGACTTTTCTTTTGTTCAACGTTTGTTTTAAATGTGTTAAATAACGGCATCAGACAAAATATGGGAAGTAAAAAGATGCTAAAATGGCAAATCTGTGGTGTCCTACAGAGCACGCACGATGATGACAGGAAATAAAGCAAAATGGTGAAAAAATAAAGGAAGGAGGAACCCTGACGTACCTCGGGGGCGACGAAGTTGGCGGTGTAACACGGCGTCATGAGCAGGCCGTTCTCCGCTCTCAGCTGCTTGGCGAAGCCAAAGTCGCAGATCCTGATGGACTCGGCGTTCCCGCTCTCGTCCACATACAGGATGTTACTGGGCTTCAGGTCTCTGTGCACCACCTGCAAACCCAGCAGGGCGACAGAGTCACGGAGGTCGACTACATCAGCTTTCTCTCTCTTCACCTCGAACGCATGTCTGCTGGATCGCAGCTATTATACAAATTTGACTAAACCTACTGAAGACATGGACAGAAAGAGCTTTGCTACCACATCACAGGATTAGTAACCATTTATTACTTTACTGCCATTCTTTATTTGTACTTTTTGATTGTTGCATGATGGAAAAATGGGCTTATTTCATATTTAAATCAGTTTCTTCTGTCGTGCAGTGGACACTGCACGCTCGTATGTTAGCAGCTTGTCACAGCCTGCTTTATCCTCCTCTTTAGCTCTAACGGGGCTTTAATTTACTGGATTAACATCATTTTGTATCAAATGGGACTTAAAGTGACCAAGTCCCAACTCATAAAGAACCTTTTTAATTTGATACAGCGGCTCTCATCTCATCTGTCACAGCCGAACAGCAGCACATCTCCACAGAAAGACGAGCTCGAACATTTTGTGTCCATCTCTTTGTTTTACCGCTGCTCCTAAAGGCCTCTGGAGAAACGCACCCCTTGCACATGCAGGTACTCCACGGTCTTGGTGATGGTGTAGAGAACAGCGCTGGCTTCCCGCTCAGAGAAAAACTTCTGACGGAGGATTTTGTCCAGCAGCTCGCCTCCCTTCATCAGCTCCGTCACCAGGAACACCGACCGGCCGTCGTCATACACCTACGACACGAAAATAAACCGACCCACACGTAAGTCGGCAGCGATTTAGTCACAGAAATCGCCTGTGAATTTATTTATTCAGCTCTTAAAATTAAAAGCAAAAACAAAAATGCGGAACTAGACGTTTATAAGTGCCTCCAACACCTGCTGCAGAATCACCGGCATGCAGGTGTTCACTGCTGTTTCAAGTGGAAAACCATCAATTTAGATGAAACCATCATTAGTTACTGGATCAAATGCAAGCGGGGGCATTTTCACCCAGCAGCATCATCAGGACGATATTTTTAACTCTAATTAGCAGTGAGTCACAGAAAAAATGAAATCATTAGCATCACAGCAAGCAAATTATTATTTTTGTTTGTCCGACAGCGACTTGGAAAAGCTCGCCGGATATTCAGGTCGAGCCCAGGGGTGGGAAAGTGACCCTGGATGAGTCACGCGGCAGCTTCACTCCATGTTAACACAGGCTGAGGGTGATTTTCACAATAAGAGTTTAAAGTTAAACTCTTGTACTTAACCTGTGCAACTTTAACCAAAATGTTCACCAGCAGGGGGCAGCTTGTCCTAACAGCTTACAGGTGACTCACTGCTCCACCTTCTGGTACAAACTGGCATTGCATGAACTTACAGCCCAGCCTAGATTCATTACAGGTGTTTCTTCACATCTGCTGATTGCGTAAAGAAATCCTGCACGGCTTCAAACTATTCTTGAACACAGGACGACACACTGAGCACCTTTAAATCATCGTTGGTGTCACGATAGCAACAACACTGATGCTTTGTGGTCCTATAACTGATGTGATGCTTAATATCAAATGTTGGTGTAGACGTGGTTCTTTAAGTATGAAACAATATATTTATAAATATGTCAGGATACCTTTGGGCTTGATGGGGGAGCTGCACTTGTTAAATAACGTTAAATAAGAAAATAACCATGAGACTGAAGAGCCTGGTTAAGTTTAGCAGCAGATTTAGAGCAATTCAAAACTCTGCTGGGAGTGACTCACGTCTTTGAGGGTGATGATGTTGGGGTGCTGCCCGTATCTCAGCAGGATCTCCACCTCCTCCGTCGGGTCTCTCTTGGACTTGTTGATAATCTGCCACAGAGACAGTGCTTTGAATATAAAGTGTTTTTATTGCAAGTTTTTTAAAGTTTAAGATCTTTTAAATCCCACACGCTGACACAAAGTTTCAGCAGGATTGTGGAGTCCTGTGAAAAACTGAGGACGCCCGCACCGAGGAAAGGAAATAAGAGAGGAAGCAGCAGGCAGGTGCTCGATCATCAGCAATATAAAAGCAGGAACTTTGGCAGATGTCAGGCTGGCTTTTCTACTCTAGTCTGATCAACATCAAATTGGATCATGCAACAGTACGATGATCCCAGGCATCCAGACAGCTGTGCATACACGGATGTCTGCAAAGCTCAATGAACTGAAGCAGTGCTGCAGAGAAGAGTGGGCTACGTTCCTCCACAGCCATGATTTCTGTCATACAGAAAAATGTGCTTCAAGTTATTGCTGCTTTTACAAGCCACTGAATTATGGAGCGTACTTAGTTTTTACAGGACTGGATGACAACGGTTTCTACTTAGATAATGCATCACTTATCGTGGCATTAAATCAGAAAAACAGTGTCAATTATGTTAATTTATTCACATTTTTGACAAATATGCAGATTATCACCAACAGCAACAGTATTTGAATATCCTGAAATGTCTCCAAACCAGCAGCACAACAAAATCTGAAGCCAACTTTTAGTTTGGAGCTGAGATCTGTTACGTCCTCGTAATTTACTGTCGTTTTTCAAACGAGCAGCGTTTGTATAATTACCGGACATTATAAGCTGTTTCAAACTAATTTACTCCTTAAATGTCAACAATACCGACACAGTAAACTGTGAGCGTCAGAGACGGCAAACGGAACGAAACTAAAACAGCTAAAAGCTCAACCACGTTCACATGGTCATAGAAATATGAAGAATCGATAAATATCTGCACATCTGTGATAGAAATCATCTTTCAGAACGTTTCAGTGCATCATCAGCTTCTTTCCAGAAACCTGCCGTCGCCCTGCGTGTATTAAAAACACAAAAGCAGATGTTGAGCTGCTGTGCGCGTTCACCTTCACTGCGTACTCCATGCCGGTTCCTTTGTGTACGCAGCGCTTGCAGATGGAGTAGGAGCCGACGCCGATGTCCTCTTTGATCTCGTAGGCGTCTGCGAACTGGGACGTGCTTCTGTGAAGTTGCTGCACATGAAAAAAATGTAAACAGATGTGAGTCCTCATAACCAACGACTCGGGCCTGATTGAGACCTCTGCCCCACGGCGGCGGCGGCACTCGTGCTCATGCTGTGCGTTACGCGTTAATTACAAACAGTTTCACCCCCAGTGAGTCCTTACACTGATGCTATGATTATTAATCCTTATATTAGATGATTATTGTTATTTTGAGGTGAAAAACAGACTAATTACAAGAGATGTGAGAGTGCAGAGATGTGGCGTCTGGATGCGTTTCTCAGGAGATTTTGGAAAATGTTCTTGTTTCATTGAAAGCACTTAAAAAATGACTCATCCATGACCTAATCTACTGCTGGTGATAAAGGTACGATGTACCAGAAAGGAAGGTGGTGCAGGAGTGAAACCTCGGGAAAGCAAATGTGTGAATGAAATTTTCCAGGGTGGAGTGTGAAGACAGCCCCCGCGTGCTGTGCTCGTCGCCTCCGTCCACTGAGGGTTAGCCCAGTTAACTGGATTATTTCTGCCTCTGAGGCGTTTGCCTGTACCTGTACAATAGCATTGGGTAGTGGCTGCGTCTCCTCCTCCGTTATGGCCACAAAGCTGAACCCTCTGAACAGCTGATGGGCGTTGGCGCTCGGCGGGACCCCCGGCGAGTCTGGTTCACACAGAGAAACAGCTGTTAATACGGCAATGCGGTTCAGCTCTGCACAGTGTGAAGGGCAGGAGGAGGAGGTAGAGTGACAGCCTGTACCTCTGGGTGTTTTAGCTGTGAACTCTGGATCAAAATAGAAAGTGTCGTCAGGTCGCCCCGCTGCTGGCTTGAAAGGAGGGTGGATTTCTCTGCGGTACAGCTTCTGCAGCGAGAGGAAATATGAGGGACAAGGAAACACACTGAAAGACAGAATCATAACCAAAGACGACTCTGTCATCATTAAAGCAGATTTTTCAATAAAGGAGAAACTGACATTCCAGTCGATGGTGCTGAAGAAATGATGCCTCTTGATCTCCTCCACTCCATCCGGCCCAGCTCCTAAAACAAACACCGCACCGACAGTGAGCCCGATGCTGCTGTAATCACATTTCCACAGGCTGCACGAGACCCGTGGAGACTTTGTTTGGAGCTAATCTCCACAGAAAAACACAAACACCATAAAGGGCTGAATGTTACGCTGTGTGAATTACACAGCGTAACAGATGCAGGTGTTGCATGCAGTAAATATGAACCTGTGGCTTCCGGGGGCCCTCGGGTTGTGTTTGGTGCCCTCAGCGGTGAAGGCAGCTCGAAACATTCCCACCTGCCGAGCATGTGACACGTGTAGCACGGCATGTCGAGAGCCTCAAAAGCCACGGCTCAATCGCTGGATTGTAATTATTAAGCAGTACTAAGCATCTTAATCAGCCAATCACATGGCAACAACTAAACGGTGCATTTATGCATGCAGACACGGTCGAGACACCTGCCGAAGCTCAAACTGGGCTCAGAACGGGGCTGTGATGTAACTGACAAAAAGACAGCTGGCAGAGCTGGAGGTGCTCAGATTTTATTTATGAGTGACGAGGACGGACGGGATTAGAAATGAGGCTGAGGTGGTTTGGATGTGTGACGAGGAGGGGCAGCGAATTCACTGGCAAAGAGGGTGACACAGGGCGCCAGCTCAGGGTCACATGGGGTGATTAAACAGGTAGACTTGTAACTGAAAATCTGCTGGAAGTATCTCCAGGATTACAGAGAGCTCAAAACTGAGAACTCCCATTTTTGTCATTATTTAATCTCACTGGGTGCTTTAATAAATAAACTTTAGAAGAATATTCTAAGAAAATGCTTCCATAACCACAAACCCATTGAACACCCTCTCAACGTGCCTCGTGTGTGCAGGTTTTACCTAATCTGTTGCCGGGGTTTCGCTTGAAAAGGTTCCTGAGGAGACTCTGAGCTTCGGAGCTGAGAAACTGCGGCATTCCCAGCTTGGCCCTGTGATGGACACAGAGAAAGGCAGCAGGGGGGATGAAACGGAGAGAGAAACATATCGAATGCTCTGTATTGTGTACCCAGCATCTGAAAGACTAGACAGAAACATGTCGATGTGACACAGGAAGCACACTCAGCACTCTGCAGAGTCTGCTCAGCAGCTTTCCCCCCGGGCGGATACCGAGAGTCAAAAGAGAGCGAGAGAGGAAGAAGGAGGGGTTAATATTTCCTTTAATTCTCACCGACTGCAACATGATTATTTTCTCTCTTTTATGAAGAGCTATCAGCACATTCTGAGATGATCTCAGCCCATCCAGTCCTCATCCTCCTCTTCCTCCTGAGTGCTGCACTCTGTCTCCTCTAATAAAAATCCTCCCCTGGGCTGACTCGCCTTGTACTTTCTCTCTCTCTCTCCGTCTCTTCTCGGATGTACAGGGAGCTCAAATAAAAGCTGCAGGGTGGGGATCGGAGAGGAGTGTAAGGTGTCTTACTTGAGGATCATGGTCATCGTCTCTTTCCGGTCTTTTCCTTGAAACGGCAGCGTTCCCGTCAGCATCTCAAACTGTGAGAGAACAGGACACCATCACGCTTATTAATTAATGAGTTTTTAGGACAGATCTGATATAACAATGTGCAATATGATCAGAAAACAGGAAGCTTAAGATACTTTTATACTTAATAGTCCTCAAGTTCTGTTGACATTTTACTGATAAAACATCCAGCATACGGCTCAAAATAAAGAATAACCACTGAAAATCAGTTTGATTATGTGCGCCTGTGTGTATTCGTTAATCTAAGAGTCACGCCCTCCTCTTTGTCTCATGGTCTGTTCCTGTGAACACAGCCCATGTTTTCTCACCTCTTTGGCCTCAGGATCAGCAAAAAAACTCACTTTCTGCATCCAGTACATATACAGTTAGGTTTTTGTTACCTGTTTATTGAAACTTAGTTTTATTGTGGACATGAGTATAATGTGTAGACTCAACTTTCATTTCAGAGTGTCCACATTCAACCTGGATGAAGGTTTAGGAGTTTCAACTCCTTAACATGTGCCACCCTGTTTTTAAAGGGGCCAAAAGTAATTGGACACTTCACTCAAAGGCTATTTCATGGGCAGGTGTGGGCAATTCCTTCGTTATGTCATTTCAATTAAGCAGATAAAAGGCCTGGAGTTGATTTGAGGTGTGGTGCTTGCATTTGGAAGATTTTGCTATGAACAGACAACATGTGGTCAAGCCATCCTTAAGCTGCGAAGGCAGAAAAAACTCATCTGAGAAATTGCTACAATATCAAAATCTACAAAGAAAGAAAGCACTGGTGCACTCGACAGCGCAAAAAGAGCTGGTGGAGGACAGTGGTGGATGATCGCAGAATCGTTTCCATGGTGAAGAGAAACTCCTCCTCCGTCTACAGGTGCAAGCCACTCACAACCTCAGGAACACAAAAGCCAGATTGTACCTTCTACTAGCATACCACATCATCTGCACTGTGAAGGCTCTGACTTGCATGGCTGCCAGCGTCACTGGGACACTGGTGTTCATTGATGATGTGACACAGGACAGAAGAGGCATACTGTCTGCTCACATCCAGGAAACCCAGCATCTGGTGATGTCCATGAGTCCAACACGTCAGGCTGTCATTACCAGCAAAAGGTTTTCAACCAAGTATTAGAAATGAACATTTCGTTTTCAGTTCTTTAACTCGTCCATTTACTTTGCATTATAAATTCTTTAATATATTATAAATGAAATCTTTTTCTTCACCCGCTGAAGTAAAGCTGGAAGTCTGAACTTTAACCGATTCGTTTAATTTAAAATTCATTGTGTTTAAGTACAGAACCAAAGTTAGAAAAAAATCGTCTCTTTACAAATATCTGTGGAAACATCAACGTATCTACCCGACCGAGCTGACATCATCTGGTATCGACATTTATAATGGCATATAATAAATAAATGACAACTACAGACGTAAAGAAGAGAGAAACATCCTTCAGCCATCTTATGAGTGTTGTGGTGCACAGTTTGTCCACCAGGGGGCACTCTGCAGCTTCCCTGCCACAAACTACAACCACCTGACCTCCTGGGATCAAACTTGCTCGTTGGCTTGTTAAAGCTGTGAACTATTGTCCGATATATCACTATAGTAAATCTTAAATATCTTATCGGTTCTAAAGTTGCTGTGTTTTATACTTAAGCTGCGTGTGGTAACCCAAAGAAAAGAAGCCGCAGAAACGAGCTTCCTCTGTGGGGGGTCTGGGTTAAGACTGGCTGAGGAGCTCCGACATCCTTCATGTCAAAAGGACCCAGCTGAGGTGGTTTGTGCATCTGATAAGGATGCCTTCTGGACGCCTTCCTTTTGAGGTTTTTCAAGCTTGCCTAACTGAGAGGAGGCCCCAAAGCAGACCCAGGCATGCCAGAGAGAACAAATCTCTCAGCTGGCTTCAGAAAGCCTCAGTGTCCCTCTGAGAAGAGCCAGGAAAAGAAGCCAGGGAGCAGGAGCTTCTCTGCTGTAACTGATAAGTGGCAGAAAACAGATGGATGGATGTTTACCTCCTCATAAATGTCGGGGCTTTTGAGCTGTACTAACACAAATTTAAATGTAATTTGTGACTTTTTGTGCAACAATGTTTACGTGGGAACCACGGAGGATTTAAAAATGTTATCAGCTTGCAAACAGCTCCAAATAATTTGAGCTGCCAGGAGAAAACCTCATTACAGCTCACCTGAGACCGCAGGACTGCTGATACGACACAATGAGTGCGATAAGATTTATTGCAATCGGATTATTTGGGACTCTCACCATGAGAACGCCGTACGACCACCAGTCGGCGCTGTGCGTGTGTCCTCGCCTGTTCACCACCTCTGGAGCCATGTACTCCACCGTGCCGCAGAAAGAGTAGGCCTTGTTCTCGTGGTCTATCGACTCCTTGCTGAGGCCGAAGTCTGAGCACACAAACGCACACACATGTACAAAGATGAGTGCCAGCTTTGCATGATAAAAACACAGAGAAAGCAGCAGTAAGTATCTGTGCACAGCGGCAGGGGTACGCGTGAGGAAAAGGTGTAAGGTTACGCACCGGTCAGCTTGATGTGTCCCTCCTCATCGAGCAGGATGCTGAAACAACAGAAGACTGTTTCAAATGCTGCATTACTCAGTGTGATTGTGCACTTACAGCCTTCATGTCATGACTGAGCTTTCACAGGCAAGATTCTGGAGACCAGACTTAAAGATTTGTGGGGCAGACAGCAGCTCCCCATAATGGCACGTCATTAAATTATAGCATGGAGGCTTGTTTGAAAGCAGGGACGTCAAACTCACTTCACATCGTGGGCACACGCACAGCCTTCATGTTCGTGTAAAGAAGTTTAATTACACAAGTATTCCCTGAGATTTGTAAAAAAGAACTTCCAACATTATGCCTCAGTTTTTCTACATGATGAAGAAATGAAAGAAACCTGCCAGCACGACACTTTGGGCTGACATTGTAAGAAAGAACGTGTACCCTGCAGAGAAGGTAACTCGGATTTAACAGTTTTTCTTCTTTGTTTTGAACAAACAGTAGCAGAGTTACAGTCATGTAAAGAGGCAAGCCTGCCAAACTATGGTACATAATGGGTTAATGACTCTGGTATGACTGGCCATGGGAGGAGGAGGTCGTTATCAGCAGGAAAAGCTGTAAAACGTATGAAGCTACAGTTCAAAGTCCAACATTTATGCCCCACGTTCACATTTTCCAAAGCCGTCCACTGGGCCGCACTGGAGTCTTTGTTGGGCCGATTCTGGCCCCCGGGCCTTATGTTTGACACCCCTGGTTAAAGGACTATTCCTGCTAACTTTGCACTTTCCCTGACCTCTGCTGTGATGGTTCACCTTCATCACCTCTCCGTTAGACTTCTGTAGCTCTGATGGTCCAGCTGCACTCTCTCTGACTCACAGGCTCAGCTGCCCGACAAAGTAAACACAAGACGTCGCTGCAGTCTGAGCTCAACTGCACTGCCATTTAAAAGTTTTACTACTTGTGTTTAAAGCCCTGCGTCAGGATCTCCAGCTCTCTGCGATCAGCTCACAGCCCCTAACCTGAAGACCAAAGGTGAGCAGGCGTTTCTGTTATTGCCTCCAAATAACAGAACAGCTGACAGTCTTAAAATCGATTCTGTTGCATTTCTCTGCCTCCACAGACGGGGCCAACTCTAGTCGTTTTAAATGTGCTGTTTAAATAAAACAGAGTTGACTTGAACGTAAACACAGACATTAGTGGCCTGGAAAAGCCATTTTGCTAACTGCATTAGAGATCTCCACGAGGGAAACCTGGCAGCTGACCTAATCGTCCTGCCGGGACGCTGCACGCTGCTTTGTTTACATGCATGAGGCTGTGCGTGTGTGTGTGTGTGTGTGTGTGTGTGCATACTTCTCAGGTTTGAGGTCTCTGTAAATGATGCCGAGCCCGTGGAGGTGATCGAGGGCCAGCGCGAGCTCCGCCAGGTAGAACTTCACGTCTTCCTCTGTGAACATTACCTGAAACACAGGTGTGTTTTTTTAATCACTGCAGGTCCAGATTTGACCATGTAGCCTTAAACAGCAGCAGTCATGCTGTAAGTGCAGGACAAATGAAAAGCCTGAGTCTTTTCTTCTTCAGCTTGCTTTTTTTAATTTCTTATTCGGACTTTTTAGGGTTTAGTTTATTCTATCATATATGTATCTATCGGCTCCAGCACACATTCGACCCGATTTGAATAGTTGGTTAAGAAAATGGATGGATGGGCTTATTTTTCAGCAGCTGACAGCTCAGACGGGTGCAGGACCACCATGCACTGATTTAAATAGCGATTAGAAATGCTGGGCAATTTCTATACCCGCTGTTTGTGTTGGTTTAAACTGCTGTTACCTCCTTAGAGAGACGAGTGAAGAGGTCGCCTCCTCGGAGAAAATCCAGGATCAGGTAGAGCTTCCCCTCCGTCTGAAATGCTGGAGGTCGAAAGCAAACTGAGTTAGTATTTAAAAAGCTCAAAGACGAGCTCCGATTGGCCGGTGACTCCTCTTCACAGAGCTCTGCTATTGGCTGACTCACCGTAGTGCAGTTTGACGATGAAGGGATGGTTGACCTCCACCAGGATGTCTCTCTCCATCTTCGTCCTGACCCGGTCACGCACTGGAAACGCACACAGAGCAGAAAACACAGAATCAGCAGATCAATCGCGGCCTCCGTTGTTCGGTTTCTGTTTTGGCTGCAAAGGAGTAACTGGGTCACGGAGAAGAGTGAAGAAAATATGCAGCACGAAAGAGAAAAATAAGAAGGGGAAAGAGAAATGAGTAAGAAAGAAGAGGATGCTAAACAAAGGAGCAGCAGATGGCGTCTGACTTGAGTCAAAGCTCATTTAAAGAACTTATTTCGGTTCTCTCTCTCTGCACATTAGCTTCCTAAATTAATTTTTAAATGGAGCTAAATTAACTTAGAAATGAATAAAAGGATAAAAAGTGCTGAGCGTTAACGTTTAATGTGTTTAAGTGACTTTTCAAGGCACAACTTTTACTTTGAAGGCAAGAGTCGTCTGCAGCTCTCTGAAGGAGTTTTTCCTTCCCACTGTCACCAGGTGAGTTTTCTCTGTTATATTGTGTTTATCTTATAATACAAAGCACCTCGTGGAGACTGTTGTTGTGATTTGATGCTATATAAATAAACTTTAGCTGAATCTTCCATACAAAGTACAGACTGTGCCGATCTGCCAGCAACCAAAGCGAACTTTGCAACCAATCTCGGTCTCCAGGCGTAACCAGCCAGCTACAAGAACTGTTTTGATATCTAAGCATATTTGTTCCCTTCATTACATCTGTGCGGGAGTGAATTTACTCATCGCTCTAAAATGCAGTGAATGCAACCTGCCGGGCGACCTACTCATTTGTGTGTTTTTATTTTGATGGAGCCGCACTCCCCCGGAGGCGGAAGCGCCGACCGGAAGTAGCTCCGCTCTGAGTTTTCTCCACACCGGCGATTAATCAACACACCAGCTGCGGTGAATTATTACTGTCTGACGCCGATGTATTTAACGCTGTGACCAGGCTTCAGTCAGCGCTGGATCATTAGACAGTTTAGATGGTGTGTTGTTTCTAATCTCGGAAAGCTTCTCACTTTTTTTTGTCTTTCGCACCAGGAAGTGGAGAGGAAAACACGGGAGCTGAATCACGAGCGGGGAATGAATGCACGGAGTGTCGCCTGCTTTCACATCGCCAAACTGCACTTTCGGGAGCCGGGAGAATTCACCACGGGGCGCCGCGGCCAAAGGACTCCACACTGAACTGTTATTATTTTGCAATGTAAACAAATTCACTGTCTCTTTCTGATTTCAAGTCCGCTCCACCCACACTCCATGACAGTTTTATTGCCTTTTGGAGCATTTTGAGACAAAGTGGTGGGCGTGGCCATCTTTTATATACAAACACAGTCCGTGGTGTTGTTGCTGGTTTTAGTGTTTAATGGCTCTGCTGTTTCTACCTTTCAGTGTGGCTTTCTTCAACACCTTCATGGCGTACAGCTGACCAGCGTCCGGTCCTGTCATCTTCCTCACCAGAAACACCTACACACACACACACACACACACACACACACACACACACACACACACACACACACACACACACACACACACACACACACAGAAATAATAATAAATCATCTTTACTGATTAAATGTAAGTGCTGGATGTCGTTATGCACACTGTGAGTGTCGTTTGTTTCTGTGTGAGGATGAGAGTTTGTTTGGGTTGTTCCCATTATCCAGGTCGCACTCATGAAGATTAACATAAACACACACACACACTCGCAGCCCAAGCAGGAGGCTAATTGCTCTTTCATAAAGACGATGATACTGAGTGCGAGAGTGAAGGGCCCTCAGCCTGCCATCACCATAGCAACTCACTCTCAAACACTGGCACGAGGGAAACGTTACAGGAGAATTGAGTGGAAGTAAAACTGACACTTTACCCCCCCGCCCCGCCCACACACACAATGATAAGTCCATGAAAACACACACATACGCACCTTTCCAAACGAGCCCTGTCCCAGGACTTTGCGCAGCTCGAACTGCCGAGGGTCGGCCTTTTCCGACCCTTCCTTCACGTGGTGAGTGATGCTGATCTCCTTAATCGGGACGTCATCCTGAAACACACACACGGATTGAAGTTCGGTATAATTACTAAGGTCTGAAGAGGTCAGAGGTCAGTAATTCTTGGCTGTAAGTTAAACAGCTCTAAAAATACTCCATTTCTACCAAATAGCAGCCAAAAAGCTGCAAAATGAAAACTGCAGTTCCTCTAGTGGCCACTTGAGGCTCCAAACCTGAGTCAGTCTCCATAGGCTCCCATGTTGAAATGTCCAAATTTACAGCAGAAATAAACATGTTTACAGTCGGATAGATTAACTGCTTTGGTCTCGATGAGTTTATTTATAACTCAACTATCTGGACACTGGCGTTGGAGCTGAGGCTATTTTGACTGCATCCCAGCAGAGGCAGCTTTAGGGGACGGTTGTCTGCTCTGCATCACCTCCAACTAATCGAGGTCAATAAGCCGGGCCTTTCAACTGTTTGGTGCCTTTTGGAGCACTTTTAAAGCATCATCTGACATATGATATGGATTACTGAGCTTTACAGGCCATCCGAGATGTTTATCTTCCAGTTTTGGTAAGTGAAGTTCTGCTATTTTAATAGCTTGTTCCGTAGCACGCTTCAGGTTATTGATGGATGTGCAGACCGACGTCCATAAACATTTCTGGCAGCGGAAAAAGTCCTAAAGTAAACATCCATTAATACACGGAGGTGACTTTGCATTTATCCTCTACTCAAAATTCAGCCATTACAGGAGGCAGGAGATCAATTTCTGCACCCACTTTAGCTTTAATAGACCATGATGCATTGCAGCCGCTGAGATACAGCACAGAGTGCAGCCTGAGTAAGTTTGTTTTTGTGTGAAAATCACGAAGAAGGCTTTAATTTTGTTTTAATTTTCACAATAAAAGCCTCAGATGTGTAAACAGTGTGACTGAATATAACAGCTTTTAATATTAAATAAATGCAAATCTTTTGTTCGTATATTTGTACTAAACAGAAAAACTAAAACGCAGAATCCTCACTGCATTCACAGGAATCAGGAGGGTGAGTAGGAGCCAGGTGCTGCTAATCAAATGCATTGAATAACTGATCACCATCACTGCGAGCAGCTCTATGAAAGCAGGAGTTTGCAGGTGTGAAGCATTCAGATATACTTTGAGAAGCCACAGTTGCTGCCCATCTGGCTGCTAAGGGAAGCCTGCTAACAATCTGAAGTCCGTCACTCTACAGTGAGAAGAGCAAAACATTCAAAACACGCTGCCAATCTGGGAGCGGACGTCCCAGCAAATTCACCCCAAGGACAAGATCGTGCAATACTCGTCAGACTCTACAGATCTCAGTTAAGTGTTAGAGTTCATCCCAGCAGAAAGGCTCCCGTCTCTACAAAGAACATGGCAGCACAGCTGAGGTTTGCAAAGCTGCATCTGAAGAAATCAAAAGACTTGTGGAACAAAGTGGTTTGGACAGACGAGAACAAACACATCATAGCAGCTGTCAGCACAGCGGTGGAGGGCTGATGGTTTGGGCTTGTTCTGCAGACACTGAGTTGACCGTGAACTCCACTGAACTCTATTCTGGAGTCGAATGTGAGGCCACGTGTCTCACAGCTAAAGCTTGAGGAGAATGAGGACAGCAGCAAATCTACGGCAGCAGAGCCCAGTCAAAGTCCAGACCTCAGCCCGACTGAAACGCTGCGGTGGGACTTTAAGACAGCTGTGAGTAAACAAGTGTTCACAAACTTCACTGAACTGTGGGCCAAAATTCCTCCACAACAATGTGTGAGGTTGACAAAGTCACACAGAAAACGATTACTTTAAGTTGTTGCCACTAAAGGCGGTCCAACTGTGGGGTGTGCTCAGTTTTCACACACCGCTTCTGGATTTTAGCTCTATTTTTAATTAATCATTTAGATAACTTTACAAGCTGTTAACGACCAGATGATGTTTTTGTATTATGTCCTGATACATGAAACCCGAGATTTGAAAGAGGATGCACTTCCTCTTTCTCATGACTGCATATGCGAACCACTTGTGGTAATGTGCTCGGTCGCCTCCATAACAGCCTCTTTCAAACCCCGTCTGAGGCAATTTTCTACACTTTACTTACTTCTGATCAAACACTGATATCCTGAGAGCCCGCCGCCTGGCCTTGGTTCATTCAAACACATCCAGGAAACACCCCTGTGCAGCAGCACCAATCAGGCACTGACAGACCTCATGTCTCTGCTACACTGACACTATCAGTGGAACAAGTTCTGACTTGTTTTTTCTGAGTTTTATTTTGAAAGGATTTCTGGGAAAAGAAGGGTCGGGGATTAAAAACACAACAGCTCCCATCAGAGTTCCCTTTCGTCCCGGCTCCTTCACATCTCCCTGAATCACAGAACAGGTTGAGCAGGCTTCCTGAGCGTTCGTCATCCTCGCAGCAGGACATGACAACACACACACAGGCACACAGAGTTGTCGTGGAGCCACCCCCGATACCTGCTTCCCGCTGTAGCTGGATGACTAACGTTGCCTCACTGCATGTCTGTTTGTGCTCAGCGCCATCATCCATCCTTCAGCCTTCGTCTCCTCCTGAAGAGCCCGCCCTTCCTCGGGATACTCATGCAGTAAACCGGACAACAGGTAAACAATCCCACCCCGCATTTCCAACCTCTTTCCACTTTCCCATCATCCTCCCTGCTCTGCTCTGTGCTCCATCCTCTTTATTTCCACCCACCTCCTCCTGCTCCTCATACCTGCAGCTCCCAGGTGGGTGACCTGCTCGCTGCGGGGTGTCCCAGTGCATTATGGATCCTGTAGTCCCGGCTGCGGATCAGGCTCTGCGGTGCTAACATTGCTCCCGAGCATCGACTGGAGCCGGCGCCGGCTTCTGCTCGTCCCTGACACTTCCTCCTCTGCCTCTCCCTCTCTGCGCCTACCTCTCTCTCCCTCTGAGAAATCCTCGCCTCGCTCCCTCCCTACTTTCCTCCCTCGTTCCCTCTGATTCTCTCGCCTTTTCTATCTTTATTTGAACCGTTCTCACCTCTCTTCCCCGGATCACACCTCTCCCTCTCTCCTCTCTGCCTCTTTCTCATCGGAAAGTCACACGCTGGAGTCGGGAGGGACGTGTAATAGACGTGGAAAAAGTAATCAGATGCTCTACTTGAGTAAAAGTACCATATAAGATGTATTACTGCCTTTCACTGAGGACTTTAGAGATCTCTTCAGTGCCTGAAATGTGTCCAAAACAAGTAATGAAACGTAACAAGTACTAAAGCTGTGAGCCTCAGCTTGGATATTTTTCTATGAATAAAATGCTTCTTTCAAACATATCAAAGGTTCAATCATTAAAGAGGACATGGGCCTGGACAGCAGCACATAAAGCTATGGAGTGACTCCTTAAATGATCCATAAAAACACAAGTTACTGCCTCATGCAAAGCCCGACTCTTTGCCAGGCATAATCTTTCAGTTTTCTCCCTGGACAGCGCTCGTACAGGCAGCAACCTTCACGCTCGCCGTCACCCGTGAGTCACTTAAACACCGCTTTTCATGGCTAATCCTCGTTAGTCAGAGGCTCTCGCCGTCTGTTTTTCAACACGTGGTTGTGTAAACAGTGAATCTTTTTGAGGACGACCAGCACGCTGCTTTCCAGCGCTGGTATTTAAACTCTCCCTGCACACAGAAACCACCGCTGCAGCGGCTGATGCGCTCGCATCCTCTGCCATCTTTATGATTTCTTCGGGCTCTTATTTAACAGGAAGCTGTGGTTCACTGTGCACTCACCTTTATTTACACTGACATTATTTTATTTGCATAACTTTATGGCTCAAACTTGGTATGAGGCATAAAAGCACAGCTGATTAGCACAGTTACATTTTATGGTCAAATACACACATTTGGATACGATCACCAGCCAAAGTGTTTTTTGTGTTTTTTCTTGAGCCTAAACAAGCAGCTGTGAGAGAAACAGGATGTGAATTACTCCAACCTGCCTGCTGATCCACTCATTACCTTTCAGCATCCCAACTTTCCTTTACTTCTATCACTGCTTCAAAGCTTAACCCTGCCTGACCGTGGCTTTAGCTCAGCTCACGTCTTCTTTCTTACTTCCATATTTCCAGTTTAATCACAATTAAACTTCCAGTTTCCTAAAAGTATAAGTAAGTATCTTTTTTTTATCATAACCATGTCTGTCATATGTGAGCATCATTACTTTCAACTTCAAAATATCCTTTGAAATAATTTATATATAACTTCTTTTTAATATTTTTATCAACGCAACAAAAATTGTTAGTTTTACTAAAATGTTGTTACATTAGCTGCCTCATTAACTGTTTTCCTTAAAGTGGGCTTTTATTTAGTCACACATAAAATATACTTTGGTTTATGAAATATAACTATATTAACTATATTTTAACTATACAAGGACCAGTCGTGCTTATATGAGGGTGATTATTCTGAAACAGGAAAAAAAGAGAAAAAGTTTAACAGCTAGTTCAGAGTCAAATATTATTCAGCTCTTCGCGCTAACTTCACAGCGCTCTATGTAAATGAGACCAAACATCCAGACTGAGGCTGAGAGCTGCAAACAGCTGATAAACGCACAAAAACAATTTGGACACTGCTGACTGACGAAAATAGACGGAGAAAAACTGACGGGTTTCGCATTGTTGACGTTTTGAATATATGTGTGTGTGTGTGTGTGTGTGTGTGTGTGTGTGTGTGTGTGTGTGTGTGTGTGTGTGTGTGTGAGTCAGAACGCAGATGGAGGATCAGAGCTGCAGCGACAGGATGCTCATGTAGCACCTCTTAATCACAGGATTAAAACTGCAAACCCTGCACCTGTGCACCAAGCACACACACACAGACACACAGACACACACAGATATAAATAACACACAGGTATACGCACACCTGCATGCCCCCACACATGTTAAATGCTTCTTTTACCTGTTATTATCCTCATTATCTTATATTTACTTCTTATATATAAAAACACACTGATGGTTTTTCCAACTTCCCTCTGCTGTTACGGTTCATTTCTGCGCGTGCACACACACACAC